CTGCCGATGCCTGCCGATTCGGCTTTCCCCGGCTCGGCTGCCGACTTCCGCCGATCCGACTCGCGCCGACTTCCGATCCGACGTTCGATTCGATTCCGGGCTCTCCTGGCCCTGTGGGGTCCCCACGCCACTCGCCTGCGCGCTTGGATTTGGCGCCCGCGCGGCCCCCGTGAGCCACGCACCGAAAGGTCCATCTCGGCCTGGAATCAGGGCGCGCACACGAGGACCATTTTGGGCGCAGGAGGGGCTCGGGTTTTTGGGAGCCGTTCCTTAGATGTCGTCCGGAGGGGGCTAAAACTCACAGACACAACGAGTCGTCGATCGTGGGGGAAATTATGCGGAAATATTGGAAGTGGGGGAAGACGAATATTCATCTACCCACCGGTCGTTGAAAGTAGGTATTTTCTGATTCCCAGATCCCAATCTACCTTAAACGCCTTCCTATTTCAATAATCTAGATGTTTTGTTGTTTTGGCGGGCGGGCGCACACCTAATCGACTTCTAGGGTTTGGTTGTCACTTCCCTGGGTGACGCTGGTCGCTCGGCCCCTCGGCTGGCCCCATTCCTTGGTTTTGTTGTTTTTTCTTTGTTTTCGCATGGCCGTCGGCTGCACTGGTCGCCCTGGGCACGCCCGCCACCCCGCGGTCGCTCGGCCCCTCGGCTGGCCCAATTCCTTGGTGTTGTTTGTTTTTGTTTGTTTTCGCTTGCCCGTCGGCTGCACTGGTCGCCCTGGGCACACCCGCCACCTTTCGGTCGCTCGGCCCCTCGGCTGGCCCAATTCTGTGGATTTGCTTGGTTTTGTTTCTTTGCGCTTGTCCGTCGGCTGCATTGGTCGCCCCAGGCTCGCCCGCCGCCCCGCGGTCGCTCGGCCCCTCGGCTGGCCCAATTCCTTGGTTTTGTTTGTTTTTGTTTGTTTTCGCTTGCCCGTCGGTTGCACCGGTCGCCCTGGGCACGCCCGCCACCCCGCGGTCGCTCGGCCCCTCGGCTGGCCCAATTCCTTGGTTTCGTTTGTTTTTGTTTGTTTTCGCTTGCCCGTCGGCTGCACCGGTCGCCCTTGGCACGCCTGTCGCCTTTCGGTCGCTCGGCCCCTCGGCTGGCCCAATTCCTTGGTTTTGATTGTTTTTGTTTGTTTTCGCTTGTCCGTCGGCTGCACTGGTCGCCCCAGGCTCGCCCGCCGCCCCGCGGTCGCTCGGCCCCTCGGCTGGCCCAATTCCCTGGTTTTGTTTGTTTTTATTTATTTTCGCTTGTCCGTCGGCTCCACTGGTCGCCCTGGGCACTCCCGCCGCCTTTCGGTCGCTCGGCCCCTCGGCTGGCCCAATTCTGTGGATTGGTTTGTTTTGTTTGTTTTCGCTTGTCCGTCGGCTGCACTGGTCGCCCTGGGCACACCCGCCGCCCCGCGGTCGCTCGGCCCCTCGGCTGGCCCAATTCGCTGGTTTTGTTTGCTTTTATTTGTTTGCGCTTGCCCGTCGGCTGCACTGGTCGCTCCAGGCTCGCCCGCCGCCCCGCGGTCGCTCGGCCCCTCGGCTGGCCCAAATCCTTGGTTTTGTTTGTTTTTGCTTGTTTTCGCTTGTCCGTCTGCTGCACTGGTCGCCATGGGCACGCCCGCCACCCCGCGGTCGCTCGGCCCCTTGGCTGGCCCAATTCCTTGGTGTTGTCTGTTGTTGTTTGTTTTCGCTTGTCCGTCGGCTCCACTGGTCACCCTGGGCACGCCCGCCGCCTTTCGGTCGCTCGGCCCCTCGGCTGGCCCAATTCTGTGGATTTGTTTGTTTTTCTTTGGTTTCGCTTGTCTGTCGGCTGCACTGGTCGCCCCAGGCTCGCCCGCCGCCCCGCGGTCGCTCGGCCCCTCGGCTGGCCCAATTCCTTGGTTTTGTTTGTTTTTGTTTGGTTTCGCTTGCCCGTCGGCTGCACTGGTCGCCCTGGGCACGCCCGCCGCCTTTCGGTCGCTCGGCCCCTCGGCTGACCCAATTCTGTGGATTTGCTTGGTTTTGTTTGTTTTCTCTTGTCCGTCGATCGCACTGGCAGCCTTTCGGTGGCTCGGCCCCTCGGCTGGCCCAAATCCTTGGTTTTGCTTGTTTTTGATTGTTTTCGCTTGCCCGTCGGCTGCACTGGTCGCCCTGGACACATCCACCGCCCCGCGGTCGCTCGGCCCCTCGGCTGGCTCAATTCTGTGGATTTGCTTGGTTTTGTTTGTTTTCGCTTGTCCGTCGGCTGCGCTGGTCGCCCCAGGCTCGCCCGCCGCCCCGCGGTCGCTCGGCCCCTCGGCTGGCCCAATTCCCTGGTTTTGTTTGCTTTTGTGTGTTTTCGTTTGCCCGTCGGCTGCACTGGTCGCCCTGGGTGCACCCGCCGCCTTTCGGTCGCTCGGCCCCTCGGCTGTCCCAGTTTTGTGGATTTGTTTGTTTTTGTTTGTTTTCGCTTGTCCGTCGGCTGCAATGGTCGCCCCAGGCTCGCCCGCCGCCCCGCGGTCGCTCGGCCCCTCGGCTGACCCAATTCCTTGGTTTTGTTTGTTTTTGTTTGGTTTCGCTTGCCCGTCGGCTGCACTGGTCGCCCTGGGCACGCCCGCCGCCTTTCGGTCGCTCGGCCCCTCGGCTGGCCCAATTCTGTGGATGTGTTTGTTTTTGTTTGGTTTCGCTTGTCCGTCGGCTGCACTGGTCGCCCCAGGCTCGCCCGCCGCCCCGCGGTCGCTCGGCCCCTCGGCTGGCCCAATTTCTTGGTTTTGTTTGCTTTTATTTGTTTTCGCTTGCCCGTCGGCTGCACTGGTCGCCCTGGGTGCACCCGCCGCCTCGCGGTCGCTCGGCCCCTCGGCTGGCCCAATTCTGTGGATTTGTTTGTTTTTGTTTGTTGTCGCCTGTCCGTCGGCTGCACTGGTCGCCCCAGGCTCGCCCGCCGCCCCGCGCTCGCTCGGCCCCTCGGCTGGACCAATGTCTTGGTTTTGTTTGCTTTTATTTGTTTTCGCTTGCCCGTCGGCTGCGCTGGTCGCCCTGGGCACACCCGCCGCCTCGCGGTCGCTCGGCCCCTCGGCTGGCCCAATTCTGTGGATTTGTTTGTTTTTGTTTGTTGTCGCCTGTCCGTCGGGCGAGCCTGGGGCGACCAGTGCAGCCGACGGACAAGCGAAAACAAACAAAAACAAACAAATCCACAGAATTGGGCCAGCCGAGGGGCCGAGCGACCGCGGGGCGGCGGGCGAGCTCGGGGCGACCAGTGCAGCCGACGGACAAGCGACAACAAACAAAAACAAACAACACCAAGGAATGGGGCCAGCCGAGGGGCCGAGCGACCGCGGGGCGGCGGGCGAGCCTGGAGCGACCAGTGCAGCCGACGAACAAGCGAAAACAAACAAAAACAATCAAAACGATGGAATTGGGCCAGCCGAGGGGCCGAGCCACCGAAAGGCTGCCAGTGCGATCGACGGACAAACGACAACAGGCCAGAACAACCGAAACCAGTCAGGGAAGGGGCCATCCGAGGGGCCGAGCGACCTAGCGCTATGGCGCGCCGCTAAGACGGGGCCCGGAAATTTGCAATATACTTCTTGTAATTGCTGTTACTGTTGCTTTTTTGGGGCGGCCCCGAACGCAATCTACTTCTTCCGCCTTCCTACTTCATGTTTCTACCTATTTCTTCCGACCGGTGGGTATACACATTTATGTACATATATATATATATATGTATGTTTAGATATGATATACGGTAGGTTTGCGTCGTGTCGACCAGCGCCGACCCCAGCGCGGGCGTTCAAGGTTGAACGCCGCCGGCGACCCAGAATCGATCGATGTTGAACGATCGGACGTTGCGGCAGCGGCCGATCGTTCAAAGTTGAATGATCCCTGCGGTGTCAAAAACCAACGCTGGGGTCGGCACGACACGAACCTGCCGTATACACATATACATGTATCTAAACACATGGGGAATCCTGGGAGTTGTGTCCATCTATTCGTGTGTGTATCCAGGTCGGGGAGCATCTTCGTGCACGAGGCCCGCCGTGGACCAGGGAACAGCCCCTTCGCTCCTTGTTCGGCGTTCCTCCCGGCAGCGCCATGGCTGTACAACGGAGACCCTTGCCAAGGAACGCCCTGCTTGCCTCCAGGGGCGCCCTGGGTTTCTTGGGTCTCGATGGTCGTGCCGTGGAGAGCGCGACGCCTCCACACCAGAAGCCAATGGACGCCCTGGAGTCTCAGGGCTGGGCTGCTTGTGGGAGGTTTCTTGTGGACTGGCCTCCACTCTCGGTCCACTCGGGCCGGACGACAAGGGGGGATTGGGAGAAAGGGGGGGTTCGAAATCTGCTGCATGCAGCTGGTTTCGGCCCGACCGATGGGCCCATTCCTCGATACATGGGCGCCTCCCGGCGCCGGGAAAATCAGCTACGTGAGCTGATTCTCAAACCCCCCCTTTGCTATCCCCCCCTTTCGCCCGGCCCGATCCACGTCCAGCGTGTGGCCGATCTGCCCCCCCCGTGCCGAAGGAGAGCCTCCTCGCCCTCCAGCCCGGGCCCCTCGCGCCCTGCTGGGTGAACGGCCTCGAGCCCGGGCGCTGCTGCGGCGAGGCCAGCCGACCGCCACGGCCAACGGCGGCGGCCACGGCGGCGGCCACGACGACGACGTCGTCGTCGACGACGACGACGACGACGACGGATCGAGGATCGAGGAGTCTTCCGCTGTCCTCGCGTCTGGAGGCCCGCCTCGGGTGCCAGGGCCGTCACGGGCCCGATCGGGGGGGCGCAGCTCGGGCCGGGGCCCCCAGGGCGCTCCTCCTCCTCCTCCTCCTCCTCCTCCTCCTCCTCCTCCTCCTCCTCCTCCTCCTCCTCCTCCCCCTCCCGGGAGAGCTGTGGTGACCGAGTTGGAGAGGATCAGCTCCAGGCCATCTCTGGTGGGGTCGGAGCACCTGTGGCCGAAGGGCCGCGCCGCAGCGGCGCCGCAGCGGCGCTGCGGCGCGATCCTCCGACCCCCTGCGGCGGGCCCCCTCTCGGAGGCCTCCCGTCGACGGCGGCCCGTTCCCCTGGGGAGGGGCCGCCGCGTCGAGGACGTGCCGCCGGAGGCGTGCGCCATGGACCCGTTCACGTACACCAAGGACGAGCCTCCTCCTCCTCCTCCTCCTCCTCCTCCTCCTCCTCCTCCTCCTCCTCCTCCTCCTTCTCGCTTCCACCCCTCGCTCGCCATTCTCCAGGCTCCTCCTGGCGTCGGGGGCCGCGCGTCGCGGGCCGCCACCGCCGCGGGGGGGGGGGGTCGGGCAGGCTGCCTACCTTCCGGCTGCTGAAGCGCAGCGCGCACCGTGCCCAACACGTGCAGGTGAGCACCTCCTGGCGTGTTGGCTCGGCCTGCCGGCTGCTCCTCGTCGAAGTCTTCGGCGTCGGGGCGGCCTCTCGTCGGCCTCCCCCCTCCCTCCCTGCACGCTGGCCAATGCGCTAGTGAAGCGCCCTTACATAGTTGTCACGCTGGTGCGCATTGCGCCGCCTCGCCGCTTTCGGGAGACTTGGCTCGGCATCTTGGCCCACGCTCTGGCGAGCGTATCGCGCCACACGTGCGCCTTCGCTCTCCGTGTTGAGGTTCACGCCCGCATGCTACGACCTGCGTGCTGCGCATGCGGGACGAGATCGGCGGAGGGTCCGTCGAGACAACGGCGGCTCTCCCTGGCGTTGGGCCGTCCCTCTCGGGCCTCCCGGTGGCTTCTTGGCGCCACGGTTGGGCCCGCCTCGGAGAGCGTGTCAGGGAGGGGTCCCGGCCCTGATTTTGACCCCGATTTGGGGCCATGCGGCAGAGCCGTTGTCTCATCGGACCCGTGTCCGAGACGAGTGGAGGAGGGGGAGGAGGAGGAGGAGGAGGAGGAGGAGGAGGGGGAGGAGGAGGAGGAGGAGAAGGAGGAGGAAGAAAAGGGGGAGGAGGAGGAGGAGGAGGAGGAGGAGGAGGAGGAGGAGGAGGAGGAGGAGGAGGAGGAGGAGTGAGAGGAGAGGGCCGCTCATCACCGTCCCCTGGGGCAGAGGGAGGCAGCCCGCCGAAGGAAGAGCCCCCACGGTTGGTGCTCACCACGCCGCACGAGAGGCCTCCAGGGGAAGGAGCGGACCAACCTCGAGCAGATCCACCGCGCCTACACCAAGCAGGTCACGAAATCCAGAGCCTTCGAGGTGGAGGAACGCACCACCGCCCACAGCAACCACGCGGAATTGGAAGATGCCGCCCGCGTCGATGCTGTACACCTGGGCACCGCGCCAGACTACACCACCCTGACACCATCGGAGGCTATAACCGTTTGCGTGTACCTGATGGACGTCACCAAGAAAATGGAAGTTAAGACCATGCACTTAAGTACCGACGTTTGCATTCTCTCAGAGGACAGCCAGCACACCACGCCGCAATCCATCGGGGGGGCTACACGCGCTTCTTTGAAACCTTGCTGGTAACCATGTGCCGCTCCGCCGCTGCAGCCGGGACGAGATCAACCAACTCGACCGCTACGCCTCATCAGCGAGGTTACCCATTCAGACCAGGACCACCAATGGTGATGACACTCGGATCAGATGCAGGCAACATACTAGCGCCCACATGTCCAGCCGAGCTTTGTGAGATACGCCACACCCGGGCAGTCCTTGTCTACAGAGACGTTGCCACGGGCGAGAGCGGCAACGTCATCACCATCTGGACCATCGACAACACGGACATCGTGGACATGGATCTGATACCACCGCCAGAGCACACGCCCATCCAGAGGCCACCTGAAGGCAACACTCCATGGCCACAGCCATCCAAGCTCGGCATCCACGGCGACCGCTTCGTTATCAGAATGACCGACAACGGCAAGCTGCCCGAGGAACACAAGGCAGAGGATGACAAGCAGGCGGCAGAGATGCGACAGTCTTTTGAGCTGGACCAGGACTCCGAGTACGACAAGAAGCTCAATATGGCAGGCCTTACCCAGATACCAGGGTTCCCGAGCCGATGCCCGACCTGGCGTGGATCGACCCCGTCGCCTGCACGCCACCTCTCATGTCACCTGAGGAGAGAAGGGCCCCAGCATTTCCCCCATTGCCACCCGATCGCGACTACGGCAATAGCATCGGCGACCAAGCCAGCACCGTCGACAATTCCACGAACGACGCACCCGACGGTCGAGCAGAGCAGGATCCCACCCTTGGTCACGAATCGACGGCGCGCGATCTCGACCCCCCGACCTCAATGCTGGACTCCCGGCGCTGCGATCGTGCCACGTGAAGCGGCCATACCCGTGGAGAGCGTGCCCAAAGGACGACGCGGCTATGGCATATTTCCACAATCCGCAGACCAACGAGTCCACCTGGGAATTCCCAGAGAACTAGAAACTACGAACACCGTGGAAGAGGCACCGAACCAGCGACAACAAGGAGACCTCCAGGCACCGCAGCGAGACCAAGGGCGTCTACGTCATGAGCCCCCTTCCCCCGCATGAGACCGACAACGACGAGCCCGGGCCACCGCTCCCGCCGGGGCCGCCACCCGCGAAGCCCAGCGAGGTCATCGACGTCGCACCACCCTTGGCAGGTCCATAGCATGCGATGCCAGAGCACGCACAGCAACGACACAGCTCCCCGCAAGAAGGTCATCTTCGCCACCTACCGGCGCAGTCACCGCGACCCTGTCTCGTCCCTCGCCTGCCTGAATGTCGGCAGCCCGCTGCTACAAGCCGCGCGGGTAGTACGCGACATTGCTGGAGACGTGGTCACGGGCACCGTCAACGTGGGACTGATCCTGGACACCATGCGACACCCAGGACGGCACCGAGAAGCTACGCCTGGAGGACCGCAACCCGGGATCCAGCGCGACCCTGCGGCAGTCAGCAGGGGTCGTGGCTCACGATGGCGCACAATGGGCAACCCGAGAGGCAGGAAATGCATCGGGTGCACCTTCGCCGACAGCATCACGCGCAACAGCATTGAGTGGCACGACGTCGGCGACCAGGTAGTGGTCCCTGCCGCCGACGGGCCGCGGCAGTCAAAAGGACGCACTGCGAGCGCATTCGGTCTCCAGGCGCCACAGATGCAGGCTGCGCCCGCCCCCCCGCGGCAGGGCACCGCGCAAACGACGGGCGCTGCCTTCGCTGCTAGCGCGCCGAGCGACCGCGGAAAACTGCCGCGGTTCAAAGCATCCCCCATCGCTGTCCCCAATAGGAGCCTCACACCGACAGCGAACGGAAGCCGAGCATCGCCCAGGAGCACGAACACCCGCGACACTCACGCGGCTACATCGACGCCGCCGGCCATCTGATCGCCGCCACGGCAGCCAAGGCGCCGCCGCCAACGCGCGCCGAAGCCAACGTCGCGGTGGCCACGCAGAGCCACTCCAGCGGCCAGCTCCCCTCAGACGCGCATCCTGATGAAATCGCCAGCGGCAGCAAGGGCCGTGTCGACAAGCGGGAGGGGACCGCGCCCGCTGGCACTAACGCCGAGACCACCGAGAGCACCCCGGGCAACGACGGCGCATGCCCGAGCCAAGACGCCCATGGACATCCCAGTCGCGATCTTCTTCTGGGTGGCCATGGACCGCCCCGATGGCGACAACAACCATGTCGGCGATGCCCACGAAGACTGGCGCCCAGAGGACAAGTGCATGGACATCTGCCAGCCGATCATCCAAGGCGAGCACACCCGCATAGCGTGGGTAAACGCACCGCCCACGCCCGTGGCGTGGACACCGACGGGCCATTGGGTGCGGGGCGACCGAACCTGGGGCGACGCTACGCGCCAGGCGCGCGAACAGGGAGAGGACACCGCGTCACTGCGCCACAGAGCTGAGGGAATGGGCCCAGGCCGCATGGTCGAGTGGGAGGCCTACGCCACCAGCACTACTGACCGCCGCTGCCAAACTGCGCATCACCATGGACACGGAGGACCTGGGCGAGCACCGCGGGGCAGCACGCGCCGTCATGTACCGCCCCATATGCTGCGGGAGGACCAAGCCCCGTCGGACCTGCCAGAGCGAGTCCAGCGGCAGTCCAGCCGCGGACACGGGGTCCAGCGACGGCCACCGGGAGCGCCATCTCTCACTGATCCACTCCGGCGCAACCTGCCGACGCTGCCCCGTCCGCCGCACTCCCATAAAAAGGACGGGCGGCCGCGGAGCGCCGGGGAGAGCAGCACCTGCAGCGACGACCCCAGCAACAGCTCGGCCGTCCCGAACCTTGGCCTCAGGCTGCCTGCTGGACCCGTGGCACGGGCCACCCTCATCGTGCAAAGCGCAAGCATCAACACCTCATCTCCCGGCGTCAGACCTCTACAGCTGCAGCTGCCCACGCGGAGCGCCGCTTTCCCAGGCCTCCTCCAGGGTTGCTCCACGACGGCGCGACCGCTACTCAGCTGGCGCCTGCCTTCTCCTCGACTCTTGTTGCCACACCACATCCTGACTGCGCGCTCACTGCCGCCGCGGCAGCAGCAGCACCAGCACCGTACGACTCGGCAGCAGCACCCGCCCACCAGCTCCCTCTTGTCAGTTGCACAAAACGCAAGAGTTGCTTGCGGAGCTCCTGCCTCCCCTCCAACCACCTCTGCCATGCATGCGCCCGAACACCTACGACCTCACTCATGTCGCGACTCTCGGCGACTTTGGCCGGAACACCCATTCCAACGCATGAGAAGCATGAGCCCTTCATCCCAACGCCCTCCATTTCCACAGCGGCGGCTTCCTGGGCGACATGCACCTCCATTGTTTTTTTGTTCTGCAACTCCAAGTGCATCAGCAGCCCCCTCGCCATCCACCCCTAACGAAGCTCAGGCCCTCACCAACCGCCCCCTTCCTCGCCTCTTCTGCCTGCAGCCCCCCCCCCCACACACACCGTTCGCCCGCTAACCTTCGCCTTCCCTTACCCGAACAGCGCTGCACCAGGGGCGGGGGAAGGTAGGTGCTGAAAGGGAAGAGGCTCTAGTAGGAAAAATCATCACCCTGACCCGATAATTTGCGTTTACTAAACGGCCTCGGGCGTGTACTAAACGGGCGTCGAGCAGTGGGGGTGCGATAGGTGGTGGTGATGGCGCCAAGTCCTATGAACATGCTTTGGCTATCCACGGATTAATCGAAACCAATCACCCGTTGATACGTGAATTGACATGTTCATCATAAATGCGAGGGGGTTTTAAAGCACCGTTTTATTGGTGAAAATGCCTCTGACGAAAATCGTGGCTTAATTTGGGGGGGAATCTTCTGTGCCCCAAAAGGGCCCCCCTGGGCAGAGGGGGAGGGAGACGAACCCAAGAGCCTCTTCCCCTCTTCCCTCCCACCCCTCCTCTTGCTCCTCCTCCTCCTCCTCCTCCTCCTCCTCCTCCTCCTCCTCCTCCTCCTCCTCCCCCCTCCTCCTCCTCCTCCTCCTCGTCCTCCTCCTCCCCTTTCCTCCTCCTCCTCGTCCTCCTCCTCCTCCTCCTCCTCCTCCTCCTCCTCCCTCCTCCCCCTCCTCCTCCTCGTCCTCCTCCTCCCCCCCTCCTCCCCCTCCTCCTCCTCCTCCTCCTCCTCCTCCTCCTCCTCCTCCTCC